CTCCAAACTCGATACAGTTTGGGGGATTAAGATCTGGTCTGTATTACCAGAAAGGTAACCCCTCACCTGTTTTTAAAGCTGCTTTAAAATGTATTATGATCTTATAAATAATGATCCCCAAGGAAATAACAATATATGAAAAAAACCTGTACAGCATAGTGAGTGAATACAATGCATATATACAATCAGGAGGGAAGACACAAGTGGCAACTACTTTTCTCCAAATGCCTTGTGATTTTTTAGAGAGGAGAAAATGTTTAATTCCTAAGCACATTGGTCCCCTGTGCACTTGACTAATCTTTTGAGTTTCCTGCCTGAGACAAATTTGGAGCTAATTTTTTATATTGATAACTCAATGTCTTTGCCTTTTTAAAAAAAATTTCCCTTGGGCCGGCCCGGTGGCGCACTGCTACAGCGCGCCGCTTGGGAGCACGGCGGCGCTCCCGCCGAGGGTTCGGATCCCACATACAGACCGGTTCCTGCTCACTGGCTGAGCGAGGTGCGGGCACAACACCGAGGGTTGCAATCCCGTTGCCGGTCCCGGTCCGGTACGGGTGCAACACTGAGGGTTGCGATCCATTGCCAGTCACGAAAAAAGACAAAAAGGAAAAGAAAAAAAAAAAATTTCCCCCCAGCTTGGCAGAGCTGGGCGGTAGCCAACATTTCAGCTCTTTGCACAAGGACACAAGTAAATGGGTTAATCCTGCACTAGTTAGCTAATGTAGCTGTGCTCCTCAGAGGAAAAAGTCTGCTCTCAAGAAATACAGGATACAATTTGTTCATAATCTTTAAAGAGGTCAAGAGGTCTTGTGCAAGTTCAGGGGTAAAGATGATGGGGAGGACATTAGTATCCCACAGAAAATACCCAGTGTCACAAAGAAGTGACTGTGATGGTCCTCTTCACTTTTGGGCAGATCCAGTTTGTGGAGTTGGCCCCAGCCAGTGCTATGGCAGCTCTGCAGGGGATACTGAGCTGCCCTGTGCTTGTCCCTCCCAAGGGGAGTGAAGGGCAGATGCAATCCCAGGCAGCCCCAGCATGGCTCCACACATCGGGCCCCACTGCCCATGCCAACGCGGCAAGGGACCTGATGTGGGAGCACCAGGGGTGCTCAGATAGTTTATCAGAAGTGGTGTTGCTCAACTTTGGCTATGCATTTGAATCTCTGGGGGGCTTGGAAAAGAAACCTCCAATCTAAACCCAATAAACACAAGTCCCTGGTGTGGGGTCCAAAAGATGGTATTTTTAAAAAGCTTCCCAGTGGATCTCAGTATGCCACGAAGGCTGAGAAGCTCGCTTTTGAGCAGTTTCCAACTTTAGCAGCACATTAGATTCACCTGGGGAGCTTTTTAAACATCCCCACACTTAGGCCACACCCACCACCAATTTTTGGGATTGGACTCAGGCACCAAGTTTTTCTTTAAGTTCCCCAGGGAATTCCAGTGTGCCTCTAAGTTTGAGAACTAAGGTTCCAGGCCAGTGATTCTCGGCCTTTCATATGTATTCAAATTACCTTGCTAAAAATGCAGATTCTGATTTAGTCAGTCTGGATTGAGTCAGCAGGTTTGCATTTCTAACAAGCACTCAGGTGATGCCCACACTGCTAGTCCACAGACTATGCTTTGAGGAGCAAGACTAACCTAAAGAAGAGGGTCTGTTGCCTGACCTGTACGGCTTCCTGGAAAGTGCAGAAATAGGTCTCTGTCTTTCACAGCTACCTAAACTCCCCACCCAGCATACCTCATTGTCACACTCTGCCAGGACCTGGTCATATTCGCTCAGAGCAACCAAGAAAATAATGGAGGTGACACTCTCAAAGCAGTGAATCCACTTCCGTCTTTCAGATCGCTGGCCACCAACATCCACCATCCTGTTCAATAGAAGCACAGCTCACTCAGAGGTTGCAGTACTTGACTCTTTGGGGAAAAGGACATGAATCATTATACCGTGGATACTGGTGCTCTTTGGGGTCCTAAGTTTAAAGTGTCTGAGCACTGCTTGCTTTAGGCAGTGAGGGAGCGCTGGATGTTTCCTAGCAGAGGAGGCACAGAACGTAAATGAAGTTTCTGAAGACAGGGGCAGAGGCAATCCAGGTGGAGCCTGCTTGGGGACACTGGCAATAGTCCAGGCAGAAAACACAAACATCCACTTGTTCCAACCACCAGAGTCCCAGGACACCAGACACAAAAGGGACAGAAAGGCAAGCTGTCTTCCAGGTCCCCCCAGCTGTCCTCCAGCCTTGGGCCCATTCTTATTTCACGGCTCCTCCACTTTATCCACAAATCCTCTCTGTGTTATTTGGATGCCACCCCTTCTTCCTTATAAAGACCTGCAAGTAGAGTATGGAAATCCAAAGCCTTTATCTGTGTCTTTGGGAAAGATTTCAGGGACTCACAGCCCAGGAATCACAAGCACAAATGCCCCAGGGGTCAGGCGGTTTATCGAAAGAAGTCAAGTGGGTCTCTCAAAGTAGAAACACACACACTGCCCACGAGCTAGGGCCCTGTCCGAAGGGAGAGCGAGCCACTGCTGCACAAAACGCAGGCTCACTGTAACCAGACCCTCTGACTTTTCAAGAAAAACTAAACATCAGATTTTTAAGTGAAACATCCTAATGGTTAAGCATTTTTTATAACACTGAGTGAGCCAAAGAGTATACATCTGTGGGCCAGGTACAGCCACAAGTCATAGCAATCCCTGATGATAATGGACCAGCATGGTTAGGTGATCCACAGACCAGCCCCCCATGACTGTTGTCCAGAAAGGCACTGGAAAGAAAACCAAAAATCCAACCCTGCCCTTGAACCATGTCCGGGAGGTGCAGCCACTCCTGCAATGACATGTTCATGGCTGGTTGTCTCACCTCACAGCAGAGAATGGAGCTTCTGAGGATATAGGGAAAAAAACAAACCAATCTGCTTTTCCTATTCTCTCACTCATCAACCAACACAGAAGACTTCTGTGATCAGATGTGGGGGATATGTTCCCACATACCAAGCAATCAACCGATTCTGCGCCAGACACCAGCTGGGTGTCCTCCAATTCAATTCAATCCCAAAAGACTGCCCCCCAGTTCCAATGGCAATGAAAAGTCCCAGGTTGTGATCTGTGCTTCTGACCGAATGGCTATAAATTTTGGTTCCCACACTCTTGGGTTCTAGAGTGACTAGAATTTGTTAGAGCGGCTCACAGAACTCAGGGAAACACATTTACTGGTTTATTACAAAGGATATTACAAAGGATATGGGTGAAGAGATGCGCAGGTCAAGGTAACTGGGAAGAGGCCTGGAGCTTCCATGCACCCCCTGCCCCCGGACGCACCACCCTCCAGGAACCTCCACGTGTTCAGCTATCTGGAAGCTGTCTGAACCCAGTCCTGCCGGGTTTTTATGGAAGCTGCACTACAGAGTCGTAGTTGATTAAATCACTGGACCTTGGTGATCAACTTAACCTTTAGTCCTTCTCCACGCTCCAAAGGATGGGGATAAGACAGGACAAATCTGGAGATGCACCGAGATATAACTGGGGATAAGACAGAACCTGGATGTGGGAGGACTGTCCTTGTGTTGTCTCAGCTAGAAAAGCATGTGTAATAACAATTGTTAGGAGGAACAAGGGAAATAATGGATATAAAAGTGCTTTGAAATTTGCCATGACGTGTATAAACTGCATTATTATTCATTTTTCTTACCGTGTATTTTGTGTGTGTGTGGGTGAGCTGGTACTGGGATCCGAACCCATGTCCTTGCAGTTAGAAGGCTGCACTCCAACCAACTGAGCTAACCAGCCAGCCCTCTTATTATATTTAAATGCAGCAAAGACCTACTTCAGTCATCCTAAAAGTATTTTCACGTATTTGCGAGTGGAAAGTAGTCCATTTTTACACAGCTGTAAGTAGTTTATCATAAGGCTACTTCAAAAAGCTCATGGAAAGATATGTATTATCTTTTAATTTTTTAATGAAATTTTGAAGTACCTTCGTATATCATCTTAATGTAATTTTAATATATATTTTTGTATTCTTAGTTTTCTTTTGTTAAGGATAAATCTTGGAGGAGGAAATAGAGGGGAAGAGAAATATTATTCACTTTAGGGAAAAGACACCAGTAGTCAATATTTGTGGGTTGCAGAAGTGTGTGTGTGTGTGTGTGTGTGTGTGTGTGTGTGTGTGTTACACATAAGAATTACTCTAGTTTCCAGTTTCCTTCCTCCCCAAGGGTAATAGGAAGGTGAGTCCCTCCCCACTGTAGGACTTACACAATTCTAAACATGCTGAGAGGGCGAGGGCTATTCTGCATAAGGCATAAGCCCTGCTTAGCAGTAAACACCCTGAAGAGTCTGCTGGGGCTTCCAGCCTAGCAGACCAACTGCACAGGCCACGTGGGGCAACCAGTCTTACCGAAAGATGATGTTTTCCAAGTCAAACGGGTACTCGATGATGCCAGTGGTGGGCACGCGGACACGAAGCACGTCCTGCTGCGTTGGCACGAAGGACGGCATGGCAATCCGGTCAATGTCCGTCAGGTAACTGGGACGTGAGACAACGAGGGGCTGAGGCTGCTTTTAGAGAAGGGAGAAACGTCCCTCCTGCCCATGGGAAGCCACCCCACCTCACAGTGAGCCGCACAGACAGCTTCCTTCAACGACTCCCCCGAGAGCCAGCTCAGGGCCAGGCCCCCTCGCCCCCTTCCTAGACTGTTCTCAAGAGCACGTGGATCACAAGCACCTTAATGAGCCCCCTGGGAATTCTGCAGCTCACACCCTCTCTTCCTCCTGCTCCTGGGCTTGGTCACATCTATTTGGCCAGTGAGGGAGACAGCAGGGCTGGAAGGACTGGGCTGCTGACATGGCTCTGTCTGCCTCCCCGCTGGTCCCCTTCCCGCCAAAGGGCCTGTTCCCCCCCACTCGCCCCCATCCGAAAACATTACATAGTGGAGATGCTGTTCTCCAAGCAAAAGCTCAAGGAATTTGAGAGAGTTTCTAAGAAAATATACAGAGAACAGGCCAAGGGGGATTTCTTTCAAAATACAAGAAAAAGTTTTCCTGTTCAAGTCACTGGAAAACTAAGCATCTAAAATAACCCCAAACTTGTGTTAGATTATTTTTGACCATATATTAAAGCTCTAAGCTTAAGACTTACCACTTTTTCTACAGTAAAGTGAGAGAACACTTTTTTAACTTTGAGGCTTTTATTAAAGGCATTTTTTTAAATGTAATTCTGTAATTACAGAATTTTTTTAACTGTAATTCAGGCCCTGGCCAACGACGGCATTGGTGATTTTGGGGGGCAGGGGGCAGTTGGTCCTAAGGGAATCTGAACCCTTGACCTCAGTGTTACCAGCACCATGCTGTAACCAAGTGAGCTAACCAGCCAGCCCCATGCTAGTGATTCTGAGCCCCTGCAAGCCCTGCCTTCTCCCAGCACAGCCAGACATCAGAGGCTGGACAGGGTGGTCTGAAGGTGAACTAAGAGGTGACAGACAAATCCTGCTCCCCGTGCAGCCCCCAGCAAAGCGCTGGGGCAGCCTTCCAGGACCCACTTTCCATGCCCAAATGTACAA